ATAACGATAATCAAAACCAATGGAAACAATGTAAACATTAATTCTGATTTTTAAAAAATGTCAGTTTTTAATAAATCCTAATTTCTATTTTAACTAAATTTGTAAATCTTAATGAATATTTAAAGCACATAAATGCAATGATTTTTCAAATAATATTTGTTTAGAATCATAGAAAAATATTTATATAGCGTAGAAAAGTGGGTTAGCTTATTTAGTTGTGTCTTTTAAATCTACTTACTGAACTACAAAATGTGTTCAATTTTTGAAAAGGAAATGATCAAAAATAATGAATATTAGATCATTATTATTTTTAAAATAAATCTGCATTTCTCAAAACGTTAATTGTAATTGACATGTAACAAATATTTTTTACTATGCAAACATAGTTGAAATTAGATCAGGTTTCTCAGACGTTTTTGATGATTAATTATACATAAATAAGCTAATATCCAGCCAATATAGTTATAAGAAAATAAAAATTGAATATAAATATAATAACTGAATATAAATTCAAAATATTTATTTTCAAATATTGGGGGGGCTCAAGATAGGCTTGAGCCCGAAGGGTTAAATATTGGGGGGGCTCGAGCCCGAAAGCCCATACAAGTCGCCGCCTATGGACAGATATTTTTCAGCAATTGTCATCTTTATTATCTTTCCATCGTTGTCATGAGAGTGTCGCTACCATCTTCATATCACTTCTCATCTAATCATTATCATCCTCACTATCGACCCATCAACATTATCGCATCATCATCATCGTCATCATTTTTATTACCGTTTGATTCGTAAACTAACATGCATATGATGCTTGAGCTGCTGTTGAATGGGCTAGGTTGAATGTGGGCTGGTAAGTAGAGGTGAGCAAGGGGATGGGATTTGCAAGAATCTAATGGGTCCATTTATATATATATTTATATATATATAAAATTGATATATATATATATATGTTTGTGTGTGTGCGCGCGCGTGTGTTTGTACATATGTATGTTTGTATCTACCGGTAGTCGATGAAACCGTAACTCTCAAAAACATGGATACCAATAGGCGTTTTATCTTTTTTCATTTCCGATACAACGATACTATATTTTCAATTTCCCGTTCCACGTTTTTGTCCGAATTACATTGGATAGCGTATAAATAATATTTCTTTTTGAATTTTTTCTCATTCAAAATATAATTTTTTCATTATAACCGACTTTTATTATTTTTTAATCATTTCACTTGACTATATATCGGTAATATATTTTCAGATTCTTTTTCAGTTCCAGTTAAACCTCGAAAAAATGGAAAATAAATAAAAAACTTAAAAAATTTTGTTGCCGTTTTACGGCAAAGAATGACTATTTTAATTTTTGCTTAGATTACAAAAAATGTTTTCAGTGATATCTACTAACTAGTGTGGACTTCGTTCTAATTATTTATCCGTTTCAGTTTTCGTTTCGTTTTACCAAATTTTTATTTTCCTCGTTTATCGTTAACCAAATCCACACTACTTCTAACGTTCAAACCTTATTAGAAAGTTATATATTAAAAATAGAATAAAAATATCTGAATAGCTATCTAGTCAATCGTAGGTACTATTAAAATTCGTAACTACAACAAATACGAACCTCGTACTCGATTATGAAAACTAAAAAGAAAACAGAAATGCCATTGAGAGAAACCAAGTAACAATCATCGTCGTCGTCGTCATCATCATCATCATCATCATTGTTTGTTACAAGCTATGTAACAATCATCATAAATTGTTGTTATTACTTCTTCTACTACTGCTGCTACCACAACGACAACGATGGTAACGACGACAACAACAAAAGCTACTACTACTAAAACTACTACTAGTAGTACTATTGCAAATGATATATATATATATATATATATATATATATATAAAATACATATATATATATATGTATACATATATATATATATACATATATATATATATGTATACATATATATATATATATAAACAAGGAGGAGTAGTTATTAATTAATGATAGTTAACTACTTGATTTTAGTTAAATGTAGCTACCAACTATGTTTTCTAGAGGAGTTAATAATGCTAGTTTATTACTTTTTGGTCACCGAGTTAGTTCGGTCGGTAGAAGTGCCATGTTTGGCGCTGATATTACACGATGGCATGGTTCGAATACTGACCATCCGAAACTTAAAGACCATCATACACGTATGATGCGGTGCTTGTGCGTGTATACGAGTGTGTGCGTCGTGTGGTGTTGTTGGTTTACAGCCTCTGTTGTATTGCACTTGAAACGAGGGCTTAATTGTTATATAAGCATAGATACAGAATAACATGTAAGCAGATCTGCGTTTGACAGAACTGCATTATAAAGAAAATCATCACGTCATCATCATCATTGTTGGCTGCAAGCCAGACCAGACAGAAAATGTTGATGAATTTCATTCTAATATTTCATGATTGCTTGGCTATTATTTGGCAATAAAGTTTTATTTAAAAATATTTACATTTTCAACTATTTTAATTATTTAATTTTTAAGGTTTTAATTAAAAATATTTACATTTTAACTATTTTAATTACTTAATTTTTTGATTTTTCACACCATTCTATGCATCGCAAAGTTTAAAAATTTTCAATTAAATGAACAGACTTTACTTGAAATACCAAAATGAATTCATACACTTTCTGTTTTGTACATCATAAAAATAAGATAAATATAATAAAAATTGAAAAATGGGATCAGTTTTCCTCATTTATTTTTCATTTTGGCCTTCCCATTCAATTTTTATCATACATTGAAAACAAAAGCTTTTTTCATCAGTGTATTTATTAACAACTCGATTATTTACTATTTTGTTTAATCTTCATCTTCATAACGAATTTCCTAATCTTTATCTCTATCAAAATTTATGTCATCCTTATACCCTGACCCTTATTGTCATTTGTGCTCTATAGCCACAACCATTTGTTTCGCTTTCACAGTTTTACTCATTTTGATTTTGCTAATCATTATTATCAATCATCGTCGTTGTTTTGTCATTGCCATTGTCGAAGGTGTTAATATTATCATTACAATAATTTTTATAATTCTCATTATAATCATTATCACAACACATCCACATCAATCACCACGTCATTCACATACCACACTCCATATCAACCACACTACACACTAATCAAGCCACACAACACACATCTTACAACAATCATACAGCACTCCACATCAAACATACCACACTCCACACCATTTCTTAATAGATTCTGATGCGGCTAGAATGAGTGTGGAAACGTTGGAGGACTTGGATTGGTGCTTGGTGCAGTTGGAAAAGATGCATACACACAGATCTGTCTCTGACATGGCCACAACAAAGGTCTGCTTTTTCTTCTTTTTCATTTCTTTGTACGCTTCATATTTTTATTCATCTTATATATTTCATCTTTTTGATTTATTTTAGTTTGCTTCATAATTTTCGTCATTTTGATTTTTAATTTAATTGAAACACACACACCACACACACACACACACACACATACATATATATATATATATATATATATATATATATATATATATGGGTTCAGACTGTCGTATATACAGTTATTAAGAAATATCACCGCATTTTCCGTATTGTTGAGTTTGTAACTAAGTTTTTCAATTTGTCAAACAATTATTTCATCGATATTATTTAATTCATACATTTATACGTCAATTATAACATTTCTAATTATTTAAGACTGCATATCTGCATTTTCATATATACATTAACATAAAAGCTTTTTTCGGTAACCTTTACCATCATCAGTGTAATAGAGTTTGTGATATTGTTATATGTAGTTCATCTGGTATTTATAGTATTTTTAACAAAGGAACTCATTGTTATCCTTTTTGATTAATTCGTAGTAGTAAATCCGATATATTGTGTGTTTCGGTGCCTACAATTACCGGTTTTACAATCAAAAGAATATACTAGATAGCTGCTCTTCATTATCGATTCTGGTTTAGTATTGCAATTATTTTTAAGAACCAGGAATGAGTTTTGTTGTTCGTGTAATAAACCCTAAGTTTTAATTTATCATTTTCGTTGATAGTTTTAACATCACCGTTTACTATCCTTTTTATTATTTTCTCATCCGTCTTATAAGCTGTTGACATCGTATTTTTGTAATAAAGTATTATGTCATTTGTTTTTTTTATCATTGTTACTTTTTTTGTTACATCACGATCTTTTTTGGCAATAATTTTTTCAATGAATGTTTTTTTGTAACCATTGTTAGTTATCATGTTGGTTATCCGTTTGAGTTCAGTTACTCTGAATCAGAGAATAAAATTTTGTCTTTCGTTCATTTCATTGTATCGGAGGGCTTACAAAGTAAACGTTACTTAAAACCAGCTGAAGTATGTGCAACAAACAACTTACCTGTCGTAAATGTTAATACGTCACGTAAAGTGCAAACCAATGAAGCAAACAAATGATAACCATGGAGCAATAACCTCACATCGATTGTTGTTAGAGTCAATGTTTCTCTGTTAACTAGGAAAAGACTAGTTATCATAACGATGAAAATGATGGTGAATTATTTAAATGGTAACAATGTCAATGCGAATGTTGAAAAATTTCGTCAATGAACAAACTCATAATCTCTGTGGCATACTTGGTATAATAGTTAGTACACATGATTTGATACATGCTAGCCTACCATTGATGCGCATATGTCCTAAAACAGCTCATAAATTGGTCAGATTATGGAGACGTATAAATGAAGACGATCTACTCATGTATGTCAAAAATTCGTTAATATCAAAACCTTGTCAAAATAATGATATTGATATTGAATTTTAAATTTTAAACGATGAACTTAAAAGGCTTGCTGACAAAATTGCACCTCTTCATATTGTTGAATATCGATGTAAGGTTACTACTCCAGGGTTTGACGAAAAATTAAAAGATATTGTCAAAAAACGGAACGCAAATATAGGCGTAGTTTGTCAAAATGAATCTCAAAATGAATGGATCACTGCTCTAAAAATAAAACCAAAATTTTTTCCGAAAAAAGAAAATCTCACTAGAAAAATTTAGTCTTGATGAACAAGATTGCCCTTAAAAATTTGTGCAATATTATAAATAAACTTTTTTGTAAACAAAGTAATAACGATATGTCTCATGATAATGTTGACATACATTTTTCCAGGTTTATGAAGTTTTTTGACGATAAAATTGAAAAAATTATACAAACGACTAATGTTGGCAATAGGCCAGTCTTTGATCAAATCAAGCTAGATAGTGATTGTTTGTTTTTTAGCTTTTCAATACAAACAGAAGCAGATATAAAAAACTAATTTTTGGTTCACTATCAAAAAGTTGTATATTGGATGCTTTTCCAACACACATCTTCAAAAAATATGTTGATTTATACATTGTTTTTCTTACAAGTTTTGTGAACCTGAGTATAATGAACGGCACATTTTCTCAACGTTGTAAACATCCAAATAAAATAAAAATGATTTTGTAAATTACAGACCCATTTCAAACATTTGTTTTGTCTCAAAGGTTATTGAACGCGTTGTGGCAACAACTTCTCGACCTCTTAGATAAACACAAATTATTGCCTCTATATCAGTCTAGGTACAGACGTCAGCACTCAACAGAAACTGCCTTAATGTATGTATTATTGGAATTATTTGCTGTGATTGACAAACAACATGTTGCTCTGGTAACATTTCTAGACATGAGTGCAGCATTCGAATGTGTTGACCACCAAATACTTTTAGGCAGATTAGTTCATTATTTCGGCATTTCTGAAACTGTGTTCAAGTGATTTTGATCATATCTGTTAGGAAAGACTCAGCAAACTTTTTTTAATGGTGCATTGTCTTGTGTAGTCATGATGTTTTCTGGGGTACCGCATGTTTCAGTTTTTGGGGCCTATTCTTTTTATATTATACAATGCAGAGGTTTTTAAAGAGATTGATGTTTTTGGTTTCAAGTATCATGTCTATGCGGATGACATCCAAATATTAATTAGTGGTGATCCAGATACATTTCAGAGTGAGGTAGACAGACTTGTCAAACAATTGTCTAGACTAAACCACCAAAAACGCAGTTTCTCCTCATAAGTACTTGGCAACAGCTGTCAAAACATAGTTTTAATTTCGTCACAATACAGAATGAAAGTATTCAGTTTTGCAAAAAGGCAACAAATTTTAGATTTGGTTTGACGATGAGCTATCATGTAAAGATGCTGACTAAATCGTGTTCCTTACAACTGCAGAAATTAAAAAAGATACACAAATCATTGAATCAGTCGACGACGCAATCTCTAATACACGTACATGAATTTGGGCACTCGAGACTGGATTACTGCAACGGTTTGTTACATGGATTGTCAAAAAATCTATTGCTTCTCTCCAGTCTATTCAAAAGAGAGCAGCCAAACTTATTATAGATAGTTCAAAATACAATCATGTCTCGCCAATTTTAAAAGACCTTCATTGGTTACAGTAAAGAAAAGAATTGTATACAAACTGTGTGTTTAAGGTATAAATCTATACATGGTTTGCTCCCAGATTATACAGTTTAAAAAATCAGAATTAAATCAGTAATGACGAGTGGTATGAACCTGAAATCAGAAGATTGTATTATATTGGTTGTTCCTGATGCTCAGTTGCAAAAAGCATCAAGGGACATTGCAGTTTCAGAATCGGTTGAATGGAACAGTTTGCCGAAGTCGATGAGAAGATCAGGAATGAAATTTGAAGCTTTCAAGAAGAATTTGAAAACTCATTTATTTTTGTTATAATCATTATGTTCTATTTTAACTCACACATTGCTTTTTTCCAGTAGATAGCGCTTTTGAGAATCTTAACTTTTAATTAGCGCTTTACAAATTTTTCTTCAATAATAAATAATAATAATTATATATCAATGAATTGTAAATTGAACAATTTCCTAGAAATTCTAGTAAAGAAAATTGAAAAAACAAACTTTAAATTTATTAATGCCAACCATTCAGTAAAATTCATGCAATGTGTTTATATATATGTATATATAAATATATATATATATATATAGAGAGAGAGAGAGAGAAAGAGAATAAATGCTGTAGTAGACCAAATTCTTGACAGTATGATATAATATATATACGATACATAAACAATATATCACTTCAATGTTAATTGGTTTTGTTATTATCGGAGTCGTCGTAACAATCGTCATCATCATCTTCGTTATTATCATTATTGTCATCGTTTTTAGCGTCATCAGTTCTTTACTGGTCTTTTTCATCATCCTCATTGCCGTTATTATAATTTTGTTTGACATTTTCAGCTAGCAGCCAAGCATCAATTATTTTTTATATTCTCTCGACATCATTAATTTTACAATCAACATTTTTTTTCCTCAGCTTCAATATTATACACTGATAATTATTATGATAATCATTTCCACTCACATTTTCTGACTCTAAGATGCTTAATTATCATTTTTATTTTTTTCTTCATAGACAATGATAAAGCGGTCTCTTTATTTAATTTATATCGTCGTTAGTACAGTGATTCCTAACATCTCCATTTCTATCAGAATCATCACATTCTTATTCCAGTCGCCATTCTTTATATGCTTTTTACTAACGAAATAATTTTACGATATACAGATAAAAGTGTCTTTGCAATAACTATATCATATCCAATATATCTGCCCATTATTGTCCTTATCTTCCATTCTCTCTACTCTGTCTCTCTCTCTCTCTCCCTCCCTTTTTCTCTTTTTTTTCTCACTTTCTCTTTTGAGTCTTTCATTTTATAGACATATTTTTTATTTTTCATAGTAAATTAGTTAGATGGCTTTTAAAATTGCAAAATTAAAAATCTTTAACCAAAATTTTACTGGGTACAAGTTACTTATTAATTTAATAAAATTAAAGTGGAGACACAGTATATACATATATATATATATTTTTTGAGCATCTGGCCACATATGCAACGTATCAATTCGAACACCGAAGATCGTATAGGAATACCGTAAAAAGTTTTTGGTTCTATCATGCTTAAATGTTCTATCATGCTTAAATGTTCTATCATGCTTAAATTGAATAAAAATTTTGGTTTGAACTGAAGAAACTTGAAAATGATTTACGACCAACCGTTAGAAAAATCAAAAAATTAAACAGGAAGCTAACCAACGGGGAACATGCTGTGATTTTCATCAATAAATGCATTTCTGACAGTCCTAATCATATATATATATATATATATATATATATATATATATATATATATACATACAGACATATATACATACATTAACACAAACACACACACACAAACACACAAACATATATATATATATATTTATATATATATATATATGAATGT